ATAATACATATATATATATATAATAATCAATTTGAAATTATTTTAATTAATATATTATATTATTTAATTTCTTTTACTTTCTTGTTGTATTACTTAACATGTTATATTATCAGAGATTTGTTTTGATTTTATTATGAAATATAATTGGCCAATTTTTCAAGATGTTATTTTTGTTCATTTTTTACATGCTTATAAACGAGTTTTTGCTAAACATAATTTGTTCATCCGCTATCTCATGAATCTGCACCTAGCTTATATATCAGCCATCAACTAGCTTATCAACTAGTTTGTCAAACATAGCCTACAAGTTACAAAATTACTCAATTCTAAAATTAGATAAGATATTTAAAATAAATAAGTGATATATTTTATTTATTTTAAAATAAGTAGTAACATATATAAAAGAGATTTCAATTATCCAGGTTTAATAGACATTTCTTGCATTCAACATCACATTTACAATATTATTTTATAAATTTTTTATTAACCTGGATATTCAACCCGTTATGCGAGCCGATTAATTCCAGGGTGACCACTTGCTTTGCAGGTAGTCCAGAGTCACCGCATTTGAACCTCCGTGGCCACAATGAGATTTTTGTTTCTTCTTGAATTTGAACTTGGGATCTCCAGACACTTTTGACATTTGGAGTCAAACTCAAACCAATCAAACACCACCCTTGTGGTATTATAAAATTTTGGCATCTCATTGCATGATACTCACGTGTCAAGGCTTTGTAATAAACTTTTTAAAATCATCAATCAATGTTACAAAATATGAATTTTACAAAATTTTGCATCTTAATTAATGATTTTAAATAACCGTTACATATAATATAAATAAAATAAAAAATTGTCAATGTAAATTTTATAAAGTTTATTAAAAGCGGTTATGAAATTTTTATTATTTATAAACAGAAAAATTACTACTTATATATATATATATATATATATATATTACAATAATATTTTAAATTTATTGTATTTGAGTTTTTTTACGATCAAATCCATTAAAAATAATTAGGAGGATACTCACACAATGCAGCGAGATAAATCTTTATTTTAATATTTAGTTTTTATTTTGTCTCTATTGATATAATGTGATTTTATGTGATTTTGAGAAAAATGATAATTTTTTATTTTTGAATGAAATATATATTTAAAAAAAAATAAGTCGATATTAATATCGAATTAACTATTTAACAGTTCTCGTTTTTTTTTTGTAACTTCTTTAATTCAATTTTTATTATAATTTAATTTAGATTTAATAACAAAATAATTTATTTTTGGTTTAATAATATAATTTTTTATAAGATAATAATTAAAAATTCTGTCAGAACTCAATGATTAGTTAATTATATTTTAGATTTTTTTTATATTTAAAATGAGATTTTATTCTCTATTTGATTATGTTTATCTGTAGTTAGTTACACAAATTCAAACATAAAGCTTTAATAAGTTATATTTATATATAATTTACTTGTAATCTTTAATTTTTTAATTTTTTTGTCAAATACTTTATAATATAGTATAGATAATGATGATAATAAGAACGATATATAAAAATTAATAAATGAGACTAATAACAATTCAAAAGAATTAATAACAATTAAAAATCAAAATAGAGGTTCATTTAATCTACAAATATGGGTGGAGCTGGTGAGGGCTTCTGGGTCGGAACCATCTTTGGCTCAGAGTCCTCACTAGCCCCCGAGATATAAACTTTTATTTTTAAAAAAGACCCATTTTTTGTTCAATGTTATTATAGCTTGATGATGTATTCTATCAAAGGCAACCTGAGTCCTCCTTCTTTCTAGAATTCTAGTTTTTTCGTTCGTTCCTAATCCAACCCGACTTTGAATTTTGTACGTTGTTAATGAAGATATCATTGATATTTCCATAAAATGAAAATATGTCGAGTTTATTGTTGAAAATGTAAAGGTTAGTGGCATGGCTTTTGAAACGTATATTTACTTTTTGATTGAAATTTGTCATGAATATAATATCTTCATATATCTGCTTTTGATTTTACTAAAGATGATCATCTTTGACAAAATTATTGGCTCCACACCTGCTGCTACTATCAGACAAGGTGTTTTCAATAAGTTTGAAAAATAAAATTAGTTTATGATTAATTGATTATCAGATATAACCTTAGTATCAGATATAACCTTAGTATTAGGGACATATAATTAATCGATTCATATTTGTCAAAAATCACTTTATTATAAAAAAACATTTAATATAAAAGTTATCAAAATTAAGTTGGCATTTGTTTTTTAAGAGGTGGTGAAGTCTTATTTCACTTCTGATTTATAAGAAGTGGTGTTAAAATCTGAAACCTAAACCAATAAAACCCTGCTAGAAAACTGGGCATCAGTGACGGAAATTAGCGACAAAAAAATCACTTGCTGATCTGCGAGGGATCAACGAGAGAACTGGTTTTTGGCCATTCCATCGCTGATCTCTTGCAGAACAACGAGGGAATTGGGTTTTGGCCAATTCTCTCGTTGATCCCTCGCAGATCAGTGAAAGAATTGGTTTTTGGTCATTCTCTTGCTGAACTGCGACGAAAATGATCTTTGGGAAATTCCCTCATTGTCAGCGAGGGAATTGGTTTTTGGCCAATCCCTCACTGATCCCTCGCTGATCTGCAAGAGATCAGCGAGAGAACTGGTTTTTTGTCAATTTCGTCGCTAATCCCTCACATATTAGCGAGGGATCATTGCCAATTCTTAGACTGTTTATTTTTGTAAACTGATAAACGTCTGAACTTGTTTAAATTATCTATTTTACCCGTTAGAAAAATTATATTGTTGCATTTATAAATAAAATCTAGACAATTTCCACATATTTATTCATCATCATTACGAAATTTACATCTAAATTATATAATTAGCATCCACTTAAACGAAAATATGTCATTAACATATTTAACACATTTAAATTCTATTAAAATACATCAATTGAGAGACGTGACGATTGATTTGGTAAGGATTGATTGAAAGAAATGATCAATTAAAGTTAATCGATTAAGAAACGTCGTTATTGAGAGTTTGAAGAACAATAAGATGCAAATAAAAGATTGGTTTATCTCTTATCAGATAAGAAAACAATATGACATAAGTCCCTCTGGGAAAAAAAACTGTTTAAATAAACTTACAGATATTAATAAAAAGTTTTTTTTTTTATAAAAAACAAATAATACCTAATTACATTTGCTTAACAACAATCAAGGAGACAATCGTTGCGTTGCTTTTGAACAAATGAGAAGGAGATATTATGAGTCGTATATGGTGTGACAACATTTAACACTCATAAATCATATGTCAAAAATTGAAAAAAAAAAGAATATTATATATATATAATATATATATATATATAATATAATATATAATATATATATATATATAATATAATTAAAATAAAAAGCTATATAGAATATCTAGAACTACAAATTGAATATATTTAAAAAACAATGGTATGGGCATTATTATAATTAAGGA